AACCCAAACTTCCCGCCTTTAAATTGACCTTGCAAAAGTTTGAAAAGCCCGTGAAAAATTTAAAAATTCAAAATTTGGCCTTGGCTGTGATCGTCTAACAAAAAGGAACCTACGTTAGGTTTTTTTAACATGGTGGAAAGATGTTCTTTCATACAAGTGAGCATATACTGCGTGTGAGTCGAGAGCGCAAGAAATAATAGACAAAATTTTTGGGAGGGGACTAAAAATTTGCGCCCCCTCTCTAGGAGGAAACAAGCTGAGAGCGAAGGCGACACGGAGTTGTCATCTCGCATTCACTCCAAAATCCCCTATGGTATATTCACCTACATATAATACATTGCAAAGGAAACACCTTAAAAATATGAAACAAAAGACGACCACGAATTGACAGACATACACATATGAAAACCAAACAAGTACCTACCCTACGTTTATGTTTTGAATCAATGTAAATAACAAATTCAATAAAAACAAAGCAAAATCTGAATTAAAGTAACTGGATGCAAATACACAAGTTATTACGGGCGTGTGGCATCATATTTAAAATTACGGCAGTTAACAGGAGCACAACAAAAATACTCCTGGGGCGTTCTAGCACAAGCGGAGTTTGGGGCTATCGGTCGGAGCTGTTCTCCCCCCACGACGGTGATTCCATCTACCGCAAGCCTACTCGTACAGCATGACGAACATGACGTCCGAAACTAGGCTGTTACGATCGCAGACCCGCAGTTGGATCTAGGCTAGCACGAAGCCGAGAGCGTTACAACATCGGCAACCGCCCCTGAATCTATCCAAATCTGTACCCTTTGTGCACGTGACGCGATAGATCTCGCCAGTTCCACTAGGAACGGCACTTTGCTTCTGCCATGTTTTCTGTGTTATTTAACCTCAATTCCATTTTAAATGTTCAATCTCTTATAACTCTGTTACTAACAACTACTGAACAAGTGTTAAAGTTTCAAAGGAGCAATAAACGACATTTAAATTCGCCATACAATCTTGTGGGATTTTAAACATCAAATAGATCTTATGTGATATTAAAAGTTGACATCAGATAATTTATACGTTGGAAACATTCACCAACAAAATATTTACAAAACAAAACTAGCAAAGATTTATAAAAACAAAAGATCTGGTGTGAAATAAACTTGTGCAAATAAAAATATTATGTGAGGTTAAAACTACAGAGCATGAAATTTACGTTCAATTAAAATTATACAACAAAGAAAATTTACTGAGGTTAAAATTGTGAGATAAAGAAAAATTGAATGAGGTGAAAAATTGCAAAGTTAACAAAATTTACATGAGATTAATACTTGCGACACTTTATCAACGAATCAAACAAAGAGTTTACATTATGCCAAATTATGTCATAATCCAAGTGACTAGGTTACTTAACAATTTACTTTGAGAATTTAAAATACCGTGAACTGGTTACCCCAACAAGACACATAATAAATAAACACAAAAATATCCCGTCATTGTCGCGAGGAAAAAGCGTCTCGGTGATGCAAATTTTATCGTTGCGAGGAAATACATCAATGATGTAAATTTTAACGTTGCAAGGAAACGCCTCGATGATGTAAATTTTAATGTTGCGAGGAAAAAGCGTCTCGGTGATATAATCAATCTTTAGCGTTGCGAGGATATGCCTCGATGAAGTAATCAATCTTTAGCGTTGTGAGGACGTCTCACTGATGTAATCATGATAACGATGATAACCGCCTAAGGGAAGAAATTATTTTAACCCCCCGCCCATTCTCGGTATAATGAATTTTGTTAATTTAACTGCTGTAAATGAACTATTAACAATCTTGTGCGAAGAATTAACAAGTGTTATAATGTAACACTTACGTATATGCATCCAGAAACTCATCCGTAATTAAACAACAAAGGTGTTATCCTGACTAAGTGAATTTCATGAAATCTCCTAGCAAGTGGTTTATTTATTTAATAAACGAATGTTCGCAATTTTTCGATTAAAAGGCCGCAAGAATTAGCTACACGTGTTGGGTGGAAAACGGTGTCGTCATTGGAGTTACGATTCACAAAGGCTTCCTCCTTTTTATTATCTACCAAACCAACTAAACTAACCAAAACTACCTTACCACGTGATTACACTCACAAAAACACATCCAGACTAACGCTTCGGCATGCTGCCCTCTGTCTACCAACCAACCCTCCAACTAAAATCCCCTAGCGCTACTAACTGACCAACTATCCAACAAGCGTTACCGTGCACTTGGTTGCCTATGTTTAAAGATTTTTGATTTGAATTTGTTTTCTCAAATTCAAATTAAAACATTGTGATTTCGCGCCGCTGTTAAATTAAATTCAGCGCGAAAATTTGATTCAAATTCGGTCACCACACACGTAAGCTAAGTTTATCTTATTCGTTTTAACAAACATTCGGTAGCTTTCTCTATCATACTCTACGTAGACTACTGTGATCACAGTTTTTGTTATTTATTTAAAATTTTGATGTTCACACGGTATTATTTATTCGAAATTTTGCCTAACATTACCGTAAAAAGTACACGAAAAATAAAGAATTTTGCTAAGTATTATCGTCATTTTTAAAGTTGGAGACAATATGGACCTGGAAATAATAATCAAAAAATTGGTCGAAGGTTATCGAGCAATCGAAATATCAAAAAATTTGATTTTACGATTTTTGTTTTATAAAAACCTCCATAAAATAAAAACCAAAAAAATACATATTTAAATCAGATCACCATCTGGAAAATGAACTCTTAATAATTACATGGTTAACTTCGAGTATCTATGTTTATACTTCGAAAGAATTCGAGTATAAACACGCAGAAGCATCAGCGGTCGCATAAAAGAAATTATATTTGATTGATTTTGTCTCCTTAAAACAGGGGACCGTTTTGCTGTCTGAAAATTATTTTGGGTGAGGAGCTGTTATTGTAATAAATATTATTTGCGGTAGTGTAATTTTCGAATAAATTGGGTAAAACAGAAATTAGTCACCTTCTGGCGCCATAACCGAAGCCAAGCAGCTATAACGCAGTTGTTCGTATGCGCGCGAGATATCGGTTATACAGAACACGCAGCGAATATTGTAGACACATTTTTGTAAAGTAATTGTGATTAAAACTAAATGTGAATTCGTAAATTACAGGTGCAGGTGTATGATTTTATAAAATTTTAAAAATATTTATTGCTAAAAATTTTGAGGGGATGGTATCACGAAGTCAAGAAAAGTTAGAAAACTCGATTCTGAAATCTTTTTTTGATTTTACCTTTATATGATTCAAAACAACGCAATAAATAATGACAAACTGAAAATTCAATTCAAAATTTTTACAAAGTTTTAAATTACGTACTTAATTACTCTGGTTTCTCTTCAAAGCGAATAAATCTTTCGCCTTTACCTATCTAATTTAAAATACAAATTTAATTATTATTAGAAACGTTAAATACATATTATATCAAAGCCTGTTATAAGATTTTATATTTATTTTAAGATTAATAATTCTTCAATAAAAAATACATTTTCCGTTTATTTGAAAAAAAAAACTCATTTTTTTTAGAAAGCGGACAGAGGGAGTATTAAGGCATGAAGTGTCTACTTATCTGTTGACAATTTCAGCAAATAGAAACGAATTCCTGAATTCAGCTTTCCTGAAGATTATTATGGAGACGAAACGTAGGTACAAACCGTTCATAAGTATTTTGGCATCATTGTTTGCTTTTTTATTTTTAAATTTTTTTTGACAATGTAATCCACTGTAGCGGGGACACGTTTTCATTTTTCTGGCGATTACTCTATTCGTAATGCCTAACAGGCGCTTGATTTTTGCCACTTTAGTTAAAAATAAATAAATAAAATAATTTGCAATGCTACCATCACAATGAAAATATATGGGAAAGTCCACTAATCCAACTTTAATTCGAGGCGAAAAATATCACCAATTTTACCATAAATTTTGAATAAGAAATACAAAGTCATCTTCGAAAATTTATAAAAAATAACAATTTGGCCTTATCAAAAAAAAAAGAAATATACAGGGTGTTATTGAAAGGTACGTACAACAAAATGGACAGTTCTTCGCGAAGTCTAAGAAGTCGGAAAAACTTATTTTGTCTTATCAAAATTTTAAGGGGAAAATTAACCCTTATCCAATCTTTTTAGACGCTACTGAAGGATAAATAGGTAAAATTAATTAATTTTAGTAAATCCTAGCAACTGTAACAATAAAACTTTTGTCAAGACTAAATGTTGCTATAGAAACGAAAGATGATCTTTTTATCAGAGGCGTACAACGAATTTGGACATAAATTTTAATAATTTTTATCTCTAAAAGGAGAACACTTTTACCTGAACTTTTTTTAACTTTTAGCACTCATACTTCGAGACCAATTGCCGATTTTATTTTGTACGTACCTTTCAATAACAGGTTGTATAATAAGATAAAATTAATAATATTTCATTAAGAGTAGATTATTTTTCATTGAAAAAAATGCATTCCTGCATAAATACTGAAAAATCTTTTTTTTTTTTTTTATAAAAAAACGTTGGTACCTAAATACTTATAAACGGTAGGTAGGTACGTACAAAGCTCTGGAAAGGAAACAATTGGAAGCATTCAAGAAAAATATGACCCAGAATATAAAGAAAATTTTGGGGTCCGAATTAGTCACGCGATAGACTCGGGCACGGCTGTACGAAAACAAGCACCTGCCCATCTGTTCACTGATATCTCTGAAATTTACAAACAAAAAATAAACGGATACGGTAGAAAAAAGTGCTGTTATTTTTTAACAGTGACTTCTGATATCTACCAAAGTATATTTAATTAAAGATTTTTTTGGCTGGTAATTGGTATATTTTTACAATTCGAAATCTTTTTCAAAAAGACTCACTTTGTGTCATGACAATGATAAAAAAAATATAAACTTATTTTGTAAATCGAAATCAATATTGTACAAAACAATGAAATTGGTAAAAAAGGTAAAACTAAAATTACACAATATCACAATTAAATTCCCTTTTAGGAATCATATTTGTTACAAATATTACAAATTATCTGCCATGGAGCTTATATTTAGAAACAATTGTGCCTACTTTTTGACTTATACGCTTACAACCAGTTGTGGAAAAAATTTTCTCTGTGGACGGTCCCCACACAATAAATTCCATGGCCTCACTAGAAAAACCAAAACAATTAAAATTAATAATACAGATGAATGATTCGTCGTACTTAATATGTTCTTCACCAGGATTTATGACCTTTCGTTTTTGAAATTCATCTAAAATACACATTCGAATTTGACGTCGTTCCATTGGAAGGAATGGCACGTAGTGATCAATTAAATTACTCCTAATTGTATCAGAATGATGGAAGCCACCTGCGTTGATAGTAATTATGTGTTCACTAAGAACAGGTGTCATACATGCTACACTTACCTTCTTCATTAAAAGCACCTTTTGTTATTAGTGATTCAAAATCTTTCAATTTTAAATCTTCCCGTTTTACACCTTGTCTATTCCACAATTCCAAAAAATGTTCATTTATTAATTCAGCTCCTGTATTTGACAAAAATATGAAAATACAATCCCTGTAATCAACTCCATCAACATCATCTCGATAATCTATCATCGGTTTTATTATGTTTAGAACTTTTGGTGGCATTTTATCAACCTCATCAAAAATGAATAACTGTTTAGAACACTGTGATACATTGCCTTTTATCCATTGCTGTAAGTTATCCTAAAACATGTACACAAATAAATAATAAAGTTCTCGTTTGGTCAAAGCTTTATATAGTTTAATAAAATTTTGATGTACAAATTCATAAAACTGTTTGTATCATCGTGCAGTAACTGGCTTCATGAACCACGTTTGAAATAATATTTACTGTTTTCTACAGCTAACATTAATTTTTTATTTTCCAATTATTTTGCACTATATTATTAATTGAAGGCCATTTTCAGACGTCGCTTATTATTAACGAATCAACGAAGACGACAGTCTATAGTTGGAATCACGATAAGTCAAATGTAATATGTATATGACATTTTCATATGCTGCTTAATGTTCACAAGAAACTAAAACAAAATCTACCTCACTAAAAAACAAAATCCACTTCCTTCATATCAACTCACTTTTTTAATGGATTCATACAATAGCCTTTGTTCAATGTTGAAAAACGTATATGTATGTTAAAATACTTATGTATATACGTGACGAAATTTTGCGGCTCGGGTAACAGCGGTGAAAAAATAATACTCCTAATTTACAACTTGCAAAAAATACAATTTTCATTTCATGTTTAGTTATGAAAAAATTAAAATGGCTTTATGATAACAAATGGCTGTAATTTTTTTTTGTCTATATTGTCATGTCATGACTACTTTCTAAACGTATGCCTAAAAAATTAAGGAGACAACTGAAAATCCAATTTGCTTTGAAAACGAATAGGAATGTAAAATATAGTGGTATATTTTATATAACAAAAAGTGTGCCAAGGAATACGTATAGTGATCTTACAACTTTGGCTCCATCACACTACTCTTGTCAACAAATAACGCAGCTGATTAGATGCAAATTTAATACACCATCCCATATTTACATAGCGGCTCATTTCTGCATTTTGGTGGCGCGCTTCACCTAAACAGAGCCGGCTTATCGTTAGCGATATTAAAATAGGTTAAATCCTCTGTGTTCGCAAACTAGGGGCTTGGAAAAGTCAAGGCACAAAACCACTATATTTCTGGGCTTACTATATAGTCCTTTCAGGAAAATATTAACGTTAATAATATTGTGTCACTTAAATAACGGATTTCAAAAATCTACACATCTTTTGTTATAAACCGACAGTTCAGTTGTCTAAAACAAGTGTAGACAGTTATGTTAAATAACAAATTTGAAATCTCAAAATAGAAATTGATCAAAATCAATGATTTGGAAAAAAAATCATACTTGTAAAAGTTATAGGTTTGTATCCTCTTTTTTCATAACTTTACACGTGTATAAGACTCTACAAAAATCATGCGTTATTTATACATTACATAGACAACTGAAACATGCAAATATACAGTACAGTAGTACAGGCCATTTAAGACAAATAGTGAATCAAGCCAGATAATGTAACGAGAACTTTATGCTTAGTAAAGATATGTATGTGTACATAATATCTAAACCTTTTGTGTAATTTAACATTATAAATTAAAACCACACAAAATAAAAAAATTACCTGGTATTCGGCGACTTTGTCGATAGACGAAAAATGAATTCTACCTATAAAATGATGAACAAAGTTACTTTTGCTGCCTTTTTTATACATGTAGTCTATAATGAAACTGGTTACGTAATTTTTTCCACTTCCTGGCCAACCATGAAAACTTAAAGTGAGAGCTTTCTGTGGTCGATGTACACCATTCCAATGAGATTTTAGAGCATTCAAGACTATATCTTGCACTAAGTGTTGACCATATATATGTTTTTCTAAAGCTTCTTCTAGGCCTGAGTATTGTATAACGTTAACAAGTTTTTGCAACATTTGAGTAATATGTACTTTACCATCAAAATCAGCATGTATTGCATGTTCTGAACAACATTCTTTAAATCGGCAAACTGTGCTCCATATGACGCCAGTAATTGCTATACCTGCTGGTACCAAAAAGTCGAATCCCTGACATACACATATTGAATATAAGTGAATTATTAAGGTATACAGCATTAAAGTTGGAAACTGCATCTTGCTTCATAACTAATAATAGTGGAAAAATCTTGTAACTTTTTACACCATTTCCGTTTTCATCTAACAATTTGATCAATAATTCCACTGAGTTATGTTTGTTGCACTATCTAAATGCAGAAAAATAGTTTATTACTGTTTATTAATTAGATTTCATATTTTTGAGACAAGTTTTTACACATTTTTACATAACCTCAATGTTTTCCTTCAAATTGACATTTGACCGGTGACTGCAGGATTAAAGAAAGGTGTGCACAATGAACATCAATTTGTTTTAAGTGTAATTTGGAATCTAACACTTCATTAGTAAACAACTAAAATGGTAGCAAAAGCCATTTAATGATGGTCCGTTTTAAAAGCAATGATTCTACGAATAATTTTTCATGTTGTTACACCTCTGTATACACAACATTGGTATGTCAATCTGATAAATCAGATACACCAACATGACCATTCAAAAATTGTTGTTAAAACAGTGATTTGTTCACACAAATATAACGGCAATAGTGCAGTGTGAACGTAGTATGTACGCAACACGAGCCACATGAAAAAATACTAATTGTCGCGTTTGATTCACTAATGTATGAAGAAATCTAGTAACTTGTAATGTTGTCACTACTGTGATAATTGTTTTGACATTTAACTGCCGCAGATGACATCACCGCTATTGATAGAGTTCAGTGCAATTGCCAGTGCCATTTTGAACGCCGAACGAGTAAAGAAATACACAGTTATTTGGTTGTGAATTTGTGTTGGAAATAGGTACAAAGGCATAGGGATAGGTAATGACCCCTACAATTATTTTTTTTTCTACAAGTGTTACGAATTGTTTCAAAATAAATGTTACAAAGTACCACACCCTTTCGAGTAGGGTTTGATTTCGTTAAGATAAATAAAAATAATACATTTAAAATAATGGAAAATAATCGGTTGTAAAGTGAAATTAAAGTAATTAAAACGTAAATATACAATTTGTTGTTGTAAAATTTATAGCAAACATATTTCTCTACAAGTCAATAATATTTAGGACATTTTAACTTTATAAATGTAAAATTTTCTTTATACATAGTGTTGGAATTAAAAAGTCGACATAAATGAAGAGAAATTTTCTGCACTGCGGTAAAAGTGCAGTGATTCAATTAAACTAGGTCAGTTGTTTGTGGGAAGATTCCTTGTTTAAACTATTGGCGAGTGCTTGCAACAACGCCCATACCATAATATTTTTACAGTTATGTCATCGTCAAATTGGATAAGTGCTTAAAGTAATTAATTATGGCGTTCAAAAGTTCACAGTAATAGATATATTTAGCACGAAATATTTGCAACATGATTGATTTGGTGTCATACCGTTTTTTATCGATTGTATACGAGTAAAAAGAAAATTTGTATGATTGTTAATAACGATTCGTGGAGTTTTATCAGCAAACGATTGAGTTTGATTTTAAATCTGACATCATTATTTTAAGTTTCTAGTAATTGCTGATAAGGAGTGTTGTAATACTTACCAGGTATTTAAAATTATCACATTATTTTTAATCTATTTACACTTTATTGGAGATTAGAGATAAAAATAATGTGCACACCTTGAATACGACATATGTGTTGGTTTTCTTTGCGAACATTTAAATTATTTTATTAATATGTATTTATGTAAAAACGAACCATACATAGGTTTCACACTTCCAAATTAAAAAAAAAATTGGATTTAATTATTGTTTTGTTTGACAAATAGCAATTGAAATTATATTAAAACAAAATATCAACTAAATCTTTATTGTATCAAAGTGGCCCAATTTTTGATGGTCGCACCTGTATATGTACAAATAAACAGGTGTTTCATCAAAGATTCCTTCCCTTAAGTTTTTATTTATAAAAGTACTTTACCACATTCGGAACAGCAGTATATTATTTAATAAATAATAATTGTTAAGTAATATATGTTAAAAAATATATGAGCTTGTTTGAGTTCAATATCCACTGGAGTTTTTTGTATTAATAAATTTATTTGCTAATAGAAAGACAAAATATATTTGTCCCTAGTTTGTTTATAAATTACAGTCAACAATGTAGACTCATGCAACTACATATTGCTTGCGTGACATTCACAAGAAAGGGAAAAATTATGTATAATAAAAATACGTCATTTCAACGAAATCATTTTTAAAAATTCACGTGAATTTGCTCAGAAGTGGTGTATCACTTCCCGAGCGTAAGTGAAGGAAGTATTGTATTAGGGTCATGGCTCCTAGAGTACGAAACAATAGGGCTCCCGTTTCCGTCTGTCCGTTTGCCGTCTGTCTGTGTACCGACTAAAGAACGGCGTCGTGAGTTTAACAACTGTGCGGATCAGCACATGCGTGCACATGAACAGCGCGGTACGGTATCGATTAATTAGTTGGCCGACTGCATTGCATCGAGTCGAGTTGTTATCGCTTGTTTTTCAGGTGCAATAAACACCTTTACATAGGCGTCAAGTGCCCATTGCACATGTCGAAAATCTCGAGGGAGCAGTTGTCGTGTGTGCAAACGTCTGACCTTGATTAGCGTTCGAACACAGTTGTGCACGCCTGTGAATTTAAACCACTTCGGCGTTTTTTAGTACCGACTGTAATATAATGCGTCCGAATCAAAGAAATTAAGACTGCATCTTTTGTGTAATGTGAAAAGATAGTTACAGTTCTGAGATTATCCTCAAATTTTTATAGGAGTATTATTTATGAGTGATGTGCCAATTGAACATTGCATAATATGGGTTTGAAAGTTGATAATAAGTATATTTCTAAGTGTGGTAACATGCTCTATTTATTTTTTGCACCATATCATGCATAAAATTGAAATCTGTTATCAGTACATATTTCCAAAAAAATATGCTAATTATTACCGAATTTTAAAACCCCAGTCACGAAAAGTTGATCAATTTTGTTTACATACGTATGTCAATCTTTTTAGCATATATTATACCACAGTTTATAGTCTTCCATAGGCTCTAGCGTTATATGGCATGGTAATGGAAACTTTTCCAGTATATTTGGTATGGTCAGAGAATTTGTTTATGTATCAGAATTCAGAAAACCATATGCATAGTCCCAAGATACTGTCGTTATTACGATTAGTCGTTTATTTTTTAGAAGTGATACTATCCGTAATCCAAACGATCGTGTGCATATTAAAACAGTTTATTAGAAAATAATCTCACATTTTTAAATATTCTTCAACAATTCGAAAAGGTTTTCAAATTAAACTAATTAATATTCATATTCAAAAAATCTGAGGAAGAATTTTAAAAACTGTTTTTGACAGCTTGATGTACTACAAATTGTTTATCTGTAAAATCCTTAGATTAAACTAATGAAGGCCTAATGTTGATACGGTACTATCAATTTCCACCCAATCGTTTGAATGTTGGATCGAAACACATCAGTTTTCGATGTGTTTTCGCCATTTTTGGTAAAATTAAATTTGGTTTTTGTGGTTTCTAGTTTTCAAAATTGTCACTTTATTTGTAAAGTTGTCGTTTAAGAATTATTGTTTTGTATAATTAACATAATTTTTAAAAAAATATTATTTTTCTACTAATAAACTGTTTTACAAATATAAACTGCTTGTGTCAACGATTTTTTGTTTGTATTTTTAACTTCAACCAAATGAGGACATAACAGTTTATTTCAAACATGTTTAAAAAAAATTCAAAAAGGATTTTTTTGACATACGGTATACTTTTACTACCATAATATATTTTTTTTTAACTACTGTACAGGTGTTTAGAAAATCAGTAATTTATCTTTAAAAGTAAAAGCCAGAAGCGTTGGTGTATGTGGTATAGATGAAATAGGTTAGAGATATTGAAATTCTATAAACTCCTGTGTTTTTAGCTTCAAGCGGGAAACTTAATTTACTACATATGTATATTTCTAAGTGATTTTGATAGATTATTAAATTACTACATATTACAATGACATACGTAAAACACTTTGGTGTTTATTTAATTTTCAGTCGATAATACAAATAAAATGTATGAATATAAAAAAATTGAAGTTGAATGAAATAAAGTACTATCATTTTATTTTACAAACAATCTGTTTCAAAAATAGTCATTTAGGCATGTGGCCGAAATGTCGCCCTTCACACTGAAAAAAAAACTTTAGTTTTGTTTATTTATTTTATCTGAAAAGAACCCAAAGCTTGTCAGCATGAATTTTAATCAATAAACTACTAATCTGGAAATACAGATAGAAAAGTTCACAATGAATAAGAAACGATAACGGGCGCCTCTGAGGGTGCACTCACCTTTTAAATTTAAAAGTGGACCTGGCCCGACAAATTTTTATTTGCTAAGCTTAAGCTAAGGAAGTATTGTAATCGAATTCATTGGATGACTGGCTACTTTTATATTTTCTCGACGTTTCATGACCCCTAGAGTACGAAAAAATAGGTGTCTCCTGTTTCCATCTCTCTACCCTTAATGTTTCAATTTTTCGTGTCAAATTTTCAAGTTCTGGATTTCTGTTTTCCTTTTTCCGGTTTTTTAATTTTCATTTTCTCTGTTTGATATCACAATTTTTCGTTTTACATTTCCTTTAATTTTTTCAATGTTTCTGTCGATTTTAAATTATAATGTTAATTCAATTTTTCGAAGTTTCAATTTTTAATTTTTCAATTTCTCGATTTTCCAATTTTTAAATTTATCAATTTTGCAATTTTTTATTTTCTCAATTATCCGATTTTCCGATTTCTTTGATTTTCAATATTTCCATTTTACAATATTTTGTTGTTTCGATCTCGCACTTTTTTGATTTCTGAGTTTCTCAGTTTTTATAATGTTTCGATTTTTCAATTGTTCGTTTCTTCAATTTTTCACATTCTTGATTTCTAATTTTAAAATTTTTCATTTTATACTTTTTCGTTTTTTCATTTTTACTTCCCGAGCGTAAGCAAAGGAAGTATTGTAATCGAGTCCGTCGGCCGACTCTCTACTTTTACGTTTTCTCGATCTTTCATGACCCCTAGAAGACGAAGAAATAGGTCTCCCATTTCCGTCTGTCTGTCCGTCTGTCCGTCTGTCCGTCTGTCCGTCCGTCTGTCCATCTGTCCGTCTGTTGTCACGGATTTTTATTAGACAGATAATCTCCGAAAGTACTCGACCGATTGTTGTGAAATTTTGTACTTATATTAAGAATATCATGTAGATGGTAAAACGCTAACCAAAATTTGTCTAATCATCCCCACCACTAATGCGATGACGTCACTTCAAAATTGTACATAGTAAATGGGTTTTCAATTGTATAAAATAACATAGTCCTACACATGTAGTTTACAACTCCGAATCGACTTTTCACCCGAAACGTCCAGATTTTTGGAAAAAAAATCAAAATTATAAAACAACATTTTGAAATTTAATTTTTAATCTGCTAACCAGAATGCTTTGAAATGTTGCAGATGTTTTAAGGCTATGAAGAGCATCATAAATCTTTAGTCAAAAAATATTTGCTTACCCCCTCCAAAAACTTGATGACGTCAGCTCAAAAGTTTGTGGAATAAATCATATCTAAAATGTACAAAATATGATGAGTCTGTACTTGTGATCTATCACTCCATTAATATTTTTGGATTTGCATATACAGGGTGACTCAAAAAAATTAATGAATGCGTAAATATATTTTATTGATTTAATCAGGAACTACAAAACCGAATGCTCTGAAATCTTGCAGATGTTTTAAGGTCATAAAGAGCATAATAAATGTTTAGTCAAAATATATTTGCTTATCCCCTCCAAAAACTTGATGACGTCAGCTCGAAAGTTTGCCGAATAAATCATATCTAAAATGTACAAAATATGATGAGCCTGTACTTGTCATTTATCACTCCATTCATATTTTTTGGATTTGCATATACAGAGTGACTCAAAAAAATTAATGAATGCGTAAATTTATTTTATTGATTTAATCAGGAACTACAAAACCGAATGCTTTGAAATCTTGCAGATGTTTTAAGGTTATAAAGAGCATAATAAATTTTTAGTTAAAATATATTTGGTTATCTTCTACAAAAAACTGATGACGTCAGCTCAAAAGTTTTCCGAATAAATCATATCTAAAATGTACAAAATATGATGAGTCTGTACTTGTGATTTATCATTCCATTCATATTTTTGGATTTGCATATGCAGGGTGACTCAAAAAAATTAATGAAGGCGTGAATTTATTTTATCGATTTAATCAGGAATTACAAAACCGAATGCTTTGAAATCTTGGGAATATTTTAAAGTTATTATAAGCATGGTAAACTTTTGTTCAAAATGTATTTGTTCATCCCTCCTAAAAAAATTGATGACGTCACCCTTAAATTTTGCTGAATAAATCCTATCTAAAATGCAAAAAATATGATGAGTTTGTACTTGTGATTTATCATTCCATTCATATTTTTTAGATTTTCTTAAGAGGTGGTTCAAAAAAATTAATGAAGTCAATTTATTTTATTGATTAAATTAAAGGCAACACTTATTATTAGTATTACACCCCAACCAACCCAATTTGGTAGACACAAAATTTGTTAAAGGAAAAACTCGGTTGAAACATAAGGGTAGCACGCTTATTTACATCGACTTTAACATTACAGACCTGCATTTGTTTTATGCGTTCACTTGATTCCGCGAATGTGAAATAGAGATGTTTATAATCAACCAATTGTGAATTTCACCGTCAAGAATTAAAATAAAACCCAATGTTTTATATAATAAGCGGAAGTCGAAGCAATAAAACCGACGGTCGTTTTGTTTACAGTTTCTGTGTTTGGCTCTCACGTATGCTGTTACGCCTGTCATCTTAAATTAAGAATGTTTATACATACACGATTTTCAGTTGCCTCTGATACGTAGGTATACGTGAGTAAATTGTTTCGTTATTTTATTGATTATTACAAATCAATATTCAAACGACCCAATTCATTTTCCCGAAAATTTGAGAATATAATAATTTTATTCTTAGTATTACACTACATCTATCCCAACTGATATACGTGTCCTTGCAAAAATGTTGATGACGTCATCGCAATTTTTTTTTAAATTCCCACTACAAAAATGTAATGAGAAAAAAAACACAATAGGCATGCAGTCGTCAAGTTTCCGACAGCGAGGGAAGTACTGTCTAAACTCTTTAGACCAATTTTTTATTTTCAACTTTACAATTTTGCAATTTTTAACAATTTTTTGAATAGAAAAGTTTAAAAATCGGAAAACACTGAAAAATCGAAAAACTGAAAAAACAAGAAATTGCAAGCACTGAAGAAACGAAACATTGAAACATTGAAACACTAAAAATCGAGGAATTTAAAAATTGAAAAAAAAAAAATGAATCGAAAAATTATGGAATCGTCAAAATTGTAAGGTCAAGGAATTGAAAAATTAGAGATCAAAAAACTGGAAAATCTAAGAAATGAAAAAGTTTTAAAATCTTAAAATCCAATAATTGAAAAATGGAAAAGTTCTAAAACCGGAAAATTTAAAACTTAAAATTTTTCAAAATTATAATTATTACATATTTAAAATGAAAAATTGCAAATCAGAAATTGAAGAAACGAAAAATTGAAAAATCGAGGAACTAAAAAATTTTAAATTGAAAAAACGAAAAATTAAAAATCTAAAAATTGAAAACTGAAAAATTGCAACTCGAAAAATTGAAAAATTTCACATTGAAAACAAGAAAAATTACATCAGAACATTGAACAACCGAAAATTTGAAATAATTAAAAAATCAAAAATCGCAAATCGAAAAATTGAAAAAATGGAAAACTGAAAAATTAAAAATTGAAAACTCGTGAAATTGCAAATCAAAAATTGCAAAATCTAAAACTGAATGCTGGAAAATCGAAAAACCGAGAAATTTAAAACTCGAAGACTGGAAGTGTCGTAAAATTAAAGGAACAAAAAAAAATGAAAAATTGCAAATTCAAAGATTGAAGAAGCGAAAAATTATAAAATCGGAAGATTGAAAAATAGAAAAATTGTAAAAATAAAAAAATTAAAAACCGAAACGAAAAATTGCACATCGAAAATTTGAAGAAGTGAAAAATTTAAGAATCGAGAAATTGAAAAATTAAAAACTCGAAAAAATTCAAATCGAAAAATTGCAAACTCTCAAAACTGAAAAATTTTAAAGTTGGAAAATTGAAAAACTGAAAAATTTAAACTTGAAAACTGAAGAAACAAAAAAAAAAATGAAAAATTGTAGAATTGAACAAAGGTGCGGGATTGTTATTTACGGTACTAGTTTTTACTTTGTAGAGGTTGTCAGAAAACAAAAATCGCATTTTTTTTTAATAATTTTTCAAAGAAACAGGATTTGTTGGGCTGCACTTCAGGGGCAAGGGAAGTTCTATAGAAATATCTAACCTTCGACCAGTTTCTTACGTCTGCGCAAATGAACAATTGTGTTGAACGAACTTAGACCGTGTAGACTCTGTTACGTGTTGAAGAGGCATAAACATTCCTAATTCAATTTTTTAGTTTTTTCAATCACGCAAGGGTCGTAAAAACGCCAAATCTGTTATGTATTATCACAAAAATAAATCTTAGAGCGTTTATTCACTGCTGCGAGCTGACCATCGAAGAAGGTTTCTATTACCAACAGTTTTATCTGGAATATTATTTAGACTTTATATTGCTTGTGTTTAAGATTATTTAATATACTATCACTGGTGGATGCATTTAGAATTATCAGTTGACGGAGTACGGGTCATTACAAAGTTTCAGTGGTACTGTCGGTGTTTAATTTTTTCTAGTTCGTGTTTCGTTTTTGTATGATTGTTTAACCTGAAGTATTAGTAGTACTTACATTTACAAGTGAATTCTAATTAAATGTTATGAATGTTCTTCTGTTAACATTATTGAAGTAAATTTAATATGCTGATACAATTTGTTGATTCACCATATCGTTATTAATTTTTACTAGGAAAGTGAAAACACACCACCACCATGGATCAAATACCGCCGCCGAAGGAAGTAAAAATCCTCGAGACAGCGGAAGATATTCAAGAAAGACGTCAACAGGTTTTAACCAGATATGACAACTTTAAAGCAGATGCTAGAGCAAAAAGAGAAAAACTAGAAGATTCTAGACGCTTTCAATATTTCAAACGCGATGCTGACGAACTCGAATCATGGATTCTTGAAAAATTACAGGCAGCATCTGATGAAAGCTACAAAGATCCTACTAATTTACAAGTACAGTATACTTAAAATTCTTAGTTCCTATTTGACCAGTTTTTTTAGGCAAAAATTCAAAAGCATCAAGCTTTTGAAGCAGAAGTAGCCGCACATAGCAATGCCATCGTAGTGCTAGACAACACAGGACGCGAAATGATCAACCAAAATCATTACGAATCCGAAACAATTCGTCGTAGACTTGGTAAGAAGAATCAAATACTCGTTATTATTAGTCTTCTAATTCAATAAAATTTATTTCTGTAGAGGAATTACACAGACTTTGGGAGCAGTTATTACAGAAGTTAGCCGAGAAGGGCAATAAACTACAACAAGCTTTAGTTTTGGTGCAATTCATCCGACAATGTGACGAAGTCATGTTCTGGATTAACGATAAAAGCACTTTCTTGTCAACCGAGGAATTTGGACATGATCTTGAACACGTCGAAGTTCTACAACGCAAATTCGATGAATTCCAAAAAGATATGGCATCACAAGAATATCGTGTCACCCAAGTTAACGAATTAGCCGATAAGCTTCTCCAAGATGGACACCCTGAACGCGATACCATCATTAACAGAAAAGAAGAGTTGAATAGTGCGTGGCAACGTCTGAAACAGATGACAGTACTACGTCAAGAGAAACTTTATGGAGCGCACGAAATTCAAAGATTTAATCGCGATGCCGATGAAACTGTCGCTTGGATTGCGGAAAAAGATGTTGTTTTGTCATCTGATGATTACGGACGCGATTTGGCTAGTGTTCAAGCCCTGCAACGGAAACATGAAGGTGTTGAGAGGGATTTGGCAGCCTTGGAAGACAAAGTGTCTACCATAGGTATGTTTAATTTTCACTTTCTATGTGGTGTGGTATATATAGTTCTGACGGGTGTACAGAACTGTACTTGCGCAGTTTCTCGGTTTATGATATTGTTGTACAACGACCAAAAAATAGTTTTCTAGTGAGTATTTATTGAAGTGTAATTTTTTAGTGGCGATTCTGTTTTTAAATATTTATGTTAGCAACCTTAAAATACACAATTTCATGTCTTAAGTACTTATGATGACAACTATTGTGTATAGAATACAATTTTTTTGACAAGGTGTAGCGAAAGTTACATACATACGTACTTATCTGTTAAAATACAAACTTTTTCGATGATGGCTCCTTTTTTATTTTTCGAGCATAAACGAGTGGATTACTCATAGCCACAGTAAAAATGCGTACCCTTTTGGCTTTCAATGTAGTTTATTCATTCAAACTGTCTATACATACAAGGTTGCTATAAAGTGTGGATACAGCTAAATATTTCTAAAACGGTTTATCAGAACTCACTGAAATTTAGTACACAAGTATATAAAAGTATTTGAACTTTGAAATATTCAAATTTCCATCAACATTTGTTTTGGAAATACAAGGGCAACTTAATTTTTTTTAAATGCCACGACCTGTCAAATTTAATATTAAACAAAGCATGTTTTTCTGCATTCAGTAATGTGGCACATATCTATTTTTATTTGTACTAAAAGATAAAAAAAACATTAAAATAATAAGCTTAATATTTCATTTCCTTTAATTGCACAGTATAATATATTATTTATTTCAAAATGGTTGTCGACACAGATGGCTGTGAAAATCCTAAATAAAGTTGGCAGTACATCAAATATGGTAATTTTGAAAATATGAAATTCTTTGTTGACATTTCAATTGTTTTGTCAGCAACACGTGGTGGTCGTTTTGAATTTCCTTCTTTTATTATTATTTTTTTTATAATAAAAGTAATGTGGTTTTTAAATGAAAGGGTACCTGAGACAGTTTGATGTTATCACAAGCTTCTGTCTTTACAGTTTTTTTAAATCATAACCTTAAACTGATAAAATGACGTCTTAGATTTACAAAATGTGCAAAATGCGATGAGTTTATACTTGTGAGTTATCATTCCGTTAAAAGTTTTTAAATTTCTTATACAGGTGACTTAAAAAAATTAATGAATGAGTCAATTTATTATATGATTAAATCTGGAACGGCTCACTCTATTTTCTCGAAACTTTGGAAGTACAATACGGTAATCATTAGTATTCCACTGCACCGATCCAAAGTGGTATGTGCCTTTGCAAAAAATGTTCATGACGTCATCACAAAATTTTGTTAAGGGAAAACTCATTTGAAACCTCCGCATCGCACGTTTCTTTACATTTACTTTAACGTTACATACATATCTTTATTTTAAATCATAAGGGTTCTTATAAAAAAATAAAATTCCAAAAATCAAATCTTATAATTATTCAAAAAAATCTGGATTTACTTGTATTTACCTTCGACCAATTTTTTGATATTCCAATTTTTTGTTTTTCCCTTTTCTTCGATTTACAATTTTTGTTGATATGCCAATTTTTCGTTTTTCCCTTTTCTTCGATTTTACAATTTTTTTAATATCACAATTTTTCGTTTTTCCTTTTTCTTATATTTTACAATTTTTTGATATCACAATGTTTCGTTTTTTCAATTTTTTTTTTCAGTTTTTCAATTTCTCAACCTCCAAATTTTACAATTTTTCGTTTCTTTAATTTATTTTTTTTTAGTTTTTCAATTTCTCAACCTCCAAATTTTTCAATTTTTCGATTTTTTAGTTTCTCAATTTTTAATTTTTCCATTATTCATTTTTTCGTCTTCTCAATTTTTCAAGTTCTTGGTTTTTATTTTTAATTTTCCTGATTTTTTTTAATTTCCATGTTCTAGATCTTATATTACAATTTTTCGTTTTTTCATTTCTTTTATTTTTTTAATATTTCTTTCGATTTTATTTGTAATTTTTAATTTTGCACTTTATCTATTTTTAGTTTCTCAATTTTAATCTTCGATTTTTGAATTTTTCGTTTCTTCAGTTTTTCAAGTTCTTGATTTTCAATTTTGCAATTTTTCCATTTTTTTAAGTCGAAAAATCGAAAAACTGAAACAACAAAAATTGCGCAATCGAAAAAATGAAAGATCGAAAAATCGCAAATCCAAGAACTGAAGAAACCAAAAATTGAAACATTGGAAAACTAAAAATCGAGTAACTTAAAAATAGAAAAGCAGCAATGAATCGAAAATTTGGAGAAAAGTAACACGAAGAAATTGGAAAACCCAAACATTGTAAAGTCGAAAACTGAAACACTGAAAGATCAAAAAATTGAAAAATTAAACATCGAGAAATAGAAAAGTCGAATAAATAAAAAAAAATAAAATCCAGCAATTGAAAAATGGATAAAATTTCAAAATTGAAAAATTTTAAATATGATAATCATTATTACATTTTTAACATGAGTATTAGAAAAATTGCAAATCTAAAATTGAAGACACGAAAAATGTAAAAATCGAGAAACTGAAAAAACGAAAATTAAAAATCTGGAAGTTGAAAAATAGAAAAATTGATAAAAAAAAGAAAGTGAAAAAACGAAACGGAAAATTGAAGACATGAAAAATTAAAAAATAAAATTTAAAAAATTAAAATTTAAAAATTCGTGAAATTGCAAATCGAAAAATTACGACATCTAAAAATTAAAACATCCGAAAGTTGGAAAATCGAAAAACTGAAAAATTTAAAAATGAAAACTCGAGGAGTTGTATATCGTAAAATTGAAGAAACAAAAAAATGAAAAAATTAAAAAATTACAAATCGAAACAGTAAAGAAACGAAAAATTGAAAAAATTGGAATTCAAAAAAAGAATTAATTATAAAATCGGAACATTGAAAAATCGAAACAAAACATTGTAAAATAAAAATAAAGAAAATAAAAAACTGAAATGAAAAATTGCAAATCGAAAATTTGAAGAAATGAAAAATTAAAGAATCGAAAAATTGAAACGCAAAACTGAAAAAAATAAAATTTAAAAAACAAAAAATTATGAAATCGAAACATTGAAAAATTGAATAAATGAAAAAATAAAGAAAATAAAAAACCAAAACTAAAAATTACAAAATCTAAAAACTGAAAAACTCAAAAGTTGGAAAATTAAAAGCTGAAAAATTTAAACTTAAAAACTCGAAAAATTGTAAATCCAAGAACTGAAGAAACAAAAACAATGAAAAAGTGAACAATTGAAAAATTCAAGTCAAAAAAGCTATCGGAGCCTTATTTACACCACAGGTTTTTACTTTATAGAGGTTATCAGAATAAAATAAAAATTAACTTTCGACCAATTTTTTGTAACTGAATCTAAAGGTGGGTTTGCACAACTATGGCCTACTGCGTTGACAACCTTTTTGAAATATTACATAATTGAATAGATTTTCTCAAGACATCGTAGAAACGGCATTAACATTTTCTTATCAAGATAAAACTGGTCGTAGACACTACAGACAGCAATTGAAAAAATAACCGAAAAATGGCGCTGTTTTTCAATATACTAACCTCCAAAGCTTTGAGTTTGATTATGCAAATCGCAGATTTAAAGTTTGTATGAAATGTAACAAAACGTTAACGGAAAATGTGTTAAACTAGGCAAGGAAGCGGACCGACTTTGCGCCATCCATGGAGACCACGGCGACCAGATCCAATCAAAACGAGCCGAAATCGAAGACTATTGGCAAAGTCTTACAGCTAAAGCCAAAGAACGTAGAGAGAAGCTGGAAGAATCGTACGCTCTCCATAGATTTTTATCCGATTTCCGTGACCTTGTTTCATGGATCAATGACATGAAAGCTATTATTTCTGCCGACGAATTAGCCAAAGATGTAGCTGGTGCGGAAGCACTTCTAGAGCGTCATCAAGAACACAGAGGAGAAATTGATGCTCGCGAAGATAGTTTTGCTGCGACTGCTGAAGCAGGAAGAATCTTACTCGAAAAGGGACACTTTGCGAGTGATGAAGTTAAAGAAAAGTTATCCACACTTGCATCTGACAAAAATTCTTTATTGGGTACGTAAACTTTGGTTGATTTTTTGTTTAATCACTGATCCGTTGTTGTGTGCAGCATTGTGGGAAGAGCGACGTATTTTGTACGAACAATGCATGGATTTGCAGCTATTTTATCGAGACACAGAGCAAGCTGATACATGGATGGCGAAACAGGAAGCTTTCTTGGCCAACGAAGATTTGGGTGATTCTTTGGATTCTGTTGAAGCATTGATCAAAAAACATGAAGATTTTGAGAAGTCCTTGGCAGCTCAAGAAGAAAAGATTAAAGCGCTTGATGAATTCGCAACTAAACTGATTGATGGTGAACACTATGCAGCAGATGACGTGGCCCAAAGGCGCGCGATGGTACTTTTATTTTTTATAAATTTTTTATCTTGACTGTTAATTTCTGGGATTTTAGTTGCTTGAACGCCGATCTGCTCTGAAAGAAAAGTCTGCTCAACGAAGAGCACTTTTGGAAGACGCTTACAAGCTTCAACACTTTGAACGTGATTGTGACGAAACTAAAGGGTGGATCAACGAAAAACTTAAATTTGCAACCGACGAAAGCTATTTGGATCCCACTAATTTAGGTGGAAAAGTACAAAAACATCAGAATTTCGAACAGGAACTTAATGCGAATAAGACCAGAATGGAAGAAATTACTTCTACAGGCCGAGAACTGATTGATGCCAATCATTATGCAGCACGTAAGTTTATAAGGTTTGAATGTTTAACTTTATTGATTTATTAAATTTTAGCTCGTGTTCAATCTCGCACGGAAGAAATCGTGAACCTTTGGGAAACTTTAGTACAATCAACAGACAAAAAGAGTTCAAAGTTGCAAGAAGCTAGTCAACAGCAGCAATTTAATCGCACTATTGAAGATGTCGAGTTGTGGTTGTCAGAGATTGAAGGACAACTTATGTCTGAAGATTATGGCAAAGATCTTACTTCTGTGCAAAACTTGCAAAAGAAACACGCTCTGTTGGAAGCAGATGTTGCCTCACACCAAGATCGTATTGAAGGCATAACGGCAGCCGCTAATCAGTTTGTCGAACGTGGTCACTTTGATGCCGATAACATCGCTCACAAGCAGAAAATTTTAACTGATAGGTGAGTTTGAATGGTTACTGGTTTGCACCTCTTCAGTAAAATTTCATTAATAGTAATTAATTGTTCAAAGTTCTTTGCAAACGTGGTAAAATATAAATGAATTTATTTTGACCATGACGCAGAATGACGGGTTATATTAAAAAAATTATTCATACAATCTTTTGTGTTTTATTATAGATATACCGCTCTACAGACTCCTATGGCCATTCGCAAACAACGTTTGTTAGACTCGTTGCAAGTTCAACAGTTATTCAGAGACATTGAAGATGAAGAAGCTTGGATTAGAGAAAAGGAGCCAATCGCAGCTGGTACAACTAGAGGGCGCGATTTGATTGGCGTTCAAAATTTGATAAAAAAACACCAAGCCGTTTTGGCGGAAATTAATAATCACGATGGACGAATTAGTGCTGTCGTTGATGCAGGAAAACAAATGATGGAAGACGAACACTTTGCTAGTGATCAAATTCGTAACAGAGTCAACGCTCTCTATGATCACTGGATTCAATTAAAGGAGAAAGCTAATCAGGTGAATTTTTACGTTTATTTTAGTGTTGATTTATAGTCTGCATTAAAATATAAATAAGTGCTGGTGTTTTTATTGTAAAAATTTTGGGCCAGGATCTAAGATACGTACGTTAAATATAGATCGAAAAATTGGCAAACAAATGACATTTTGAATGCATATGCTTCGTATCACTTTAAAGTCGAGTTGTTATGTAAATTTTCTTGTTTTTAGTAAATATTAAATGTATTTTTATAAGAAAATTTGTTGCAGCGTAAACAAGACTTGGACGATTCACTCCAAGCCCATCAGTATTATGCAGATGCGAATGAAGCTGAGTCTTGGATGAAAGAAAAAGAGCCAATTGTAAGCAGCACTGATTATGGCAAAGATGAAGATTCTTCAGAAGCATTGTTGAAAAAACATGAAGCTTTGATGAGTGATTTGATTGCTTTTGGAAATACTATTGAAGGACTTAAAGAGCAAGCTCGCAATTGCAGAGTAAGCATGTGAAATTGGCACTGAATATTAAACATAACTCTTGACTATTTAGCAACAAGAACCTCCAGTAGTCGACGTCACTGGAAGAGAAACTGTTCAAGCTTTGTATGACTACACCGAAAAATCTGCCCGCGAGGTGTCGATGAAAAAAGGCGATTTACTTCATCTCCTGAATTCTAGCAATAAGGTAAATAAATAATTTTCATAACTTGATGTTACAGCGCCGCGCTCTATTATCTTAGCTTTCAACTTATTACAAACTTTTTCTATTAAAGTATAAAATTTGTTTGAATCTTTTTGGTTACAACGCATTACTATTAAGGCTTACTGGAGTAATGCGAACTCACGGACTTTGATAGTAATTCGTTCTGAACGTATTGATTTTTTTTACATAAAACTCATGCATACGTGCTGAAACTATTTTTCACTGTACACGATGTTCCACTTGTAACTTATTAATGAAATATTTCTATAAACGGAATATCATACATACTTTTGCATATGTTTTTTGTTTTGTTTTGTATATTTATATAGATATGTTTTCTTGTTTGTAGTAACGAAAAGCAGTATTAATTATACTTGAAAAAACAGAGCTTTATTAAAGACAAGTTTTAAGACTTGCCAATATACAGGTTTTTGATAAGAAAGAGTGACAATTTGTAAATAGACATTTTCCGTTTAAGGCTCCTCCTTACGGCCATTAAAATCTGCCGAAATACGGCAAAACGGCACTTCCAATATCATCCTTACGATAGCACTTGAAGACTTGTGCGACATATCTACTTGTTCGTAATACGAAAAGCTTCATGGAAATTGTTTTTATATTGCATTAGAGGCTTTCGTTGTTTTAGTAAAAAGTAAAAACAGCAAGATCTAAAAATGGGATTTTTTGTAAATGTAGGCAACCAAACATATTTCGTCAAGAACGAGCCAAGAAAGTGTATGATTTACGATAGGATTGGCCACTATTGAGACATTAGACGGATTGAAAACTCTTGTTGTTGTTGAGAAAGTATGCAAATGAGGTGACCGTAGTGTGTTCGTCCACCTGAAGGTTGTGGAATCGTATACTTATGTAGGAGTATTATATTCAAAAGAAGGTTTCATTACATAGGCGTTTCAAAAATTGGGAACAAACATCCACGTCTGTGGAAGCGTCTATAATTTTAAATGGTTTTAAAAATTCAGAAAAATTGCATAATTTAAGATTTAAAAGAATCATCGGTGGTGTAGACAGAAGCGTTTAAAAAAAACGTGCCTACGGACCCAGTTATTTTATGGAAAAAATTGAATGCCGCAATCATATTCTCCGAAATTATTGTACAAAAATAAGGGAATTGGCAAATACTCCAAAAACAAACACTTATACAGGGTGTCTCAGAAATAAGTACATTAATTTTAATCAGTTATAGAGCTCATTGAACTCAACAACTTTTTTTAGTAGAGTTTTGTCAAGAACTTTTTAATTATCAAGTTAAAAATTGTTAAAGTTATACCCCAATTAAGGTTACCCGCCCATGGATTCTCAGTCACCCATGGACACTAATAATTATTATAATTAATAATTTATGGTCAAAAACAGTTACTAGGATACGTATTTTCCTAATCTTGTCAATGTGACAAACATTTAGAGAGAAATTGAAAATCCTGCTCCCTAATGGCGTACGGAATTTCATCGGCCCAAATGTGGATGTTGAACACTTTCCCTCGTGTAACCGACCTCATCAGTTGATGGTATAAGAGATACAAAATTTGCTTGTTCGTTTACTTTTCTCTCACAAAAGTTTTGCCTACGTGGTAAGTCTGTTAGTTTCAATAACTGAACTTTCTGGTCCTAAAAGGGGTACATTTGTTCTCTGAGTATCCTCCAAATACTACTCTCCGATACATCACACTAGACAGTGATATGTGCTAGTGCTCGGTCGAGCTTCAACACTCTTCAAAACAGCCTCTTCAATATTAGCAATTCTATTACTACGTAACTTACCCCGATCCTGAGGTGCAGGTTTAAAAGATCCGTAATCTCGAAAATGCTGCAACGTTCTTAAAAGTGCGCACATTTGGCAGACGACGATTTGGTAGGTTTTCTGAAAAAATTCGTTGGGCGCGAGTGCCGATCCCCGAGCTTCACCGTACGTTAAAACGATATCGGTGCATTCCAAATTTGAAAACAAAGCCATTTCAACACATTTCGTCTATAAATTAGAAATCTGTGCCACACAAACTTTAAAGAGACGTTTAATAAAAACATTGACATAAAAATGATTGTCAGCGTCAAAAGGGTTGCTACGGTACCTTCTTCATTGTTGTAGTGTTGCTATTATTTAAGTTATTATTTAAGGTGAACATAGACGGCTCGTGAATATATGGGTGGGAAAATTCGAAATTCGACTTTTTCGAAAAAATGCTAGATAAAAAAGTTGTTCCGTTTCACGAGTTCTGTTACTGGTTAAAATTAATGTACTTATTTCTGAGACACCCTGTATAAAGGATTTATTGAAAAATAACATTAACAAATTTAGGACCGCAGTTGTAAGTGCCATAAAATTTCGCAAAAATGAGAATTGCTCATTGTATGATAGAAAATCTTAAAAAAGATATATTAAATGGGCTCCAGCACATATTTGGCAATCATGAAAACTGTGCTACTTATGTTTGTACCAAAAGCGGTCAGCGGGATGATATTTTAATTTCTTCCTTTGAAAATAGTTCCTTGTTTCAATTGTTTACAGAGACTTTAATATGTACATATTAAAGTCTCTGATTGTTTAGTCAGGCACTGTACCGAGTGGCTCATTTATCATCAAGTTTATTATTTGATGTTGATAATAATGCAGTAGAGTCGTATAATTCGGCTGTAAATAAATTTGTTGGGGGAAAAAGAATAAATTTTTCATTGCGTGGTTCCTATCAGGGTAGGTGTTTCGCTGCCGCCGTATGTTACAACAACAAAGGTACTTTTGTAGTTACTTGAGTTATAAAAAAAAAAATGGAGAACACAGTGTTGGTCTATACACAAATTCTTTCGCAAAAAAGAAAGTTCTACAGAGAACGAAAAATCAATAAAAAAAATAGTAATGAACGGATACAAAGTGCAGATTTCGATTACGGAAAATGTGAAGTTTCAGATAATGTAGCATCAATACCAGATATGTTTCCAAAAGTGTATGAAGAAAAAATCCGATTTTTTAAAAATCTTATCACAGTGTAATGTTGTAACTATTGAAAAAAACAACTCGTGGCCAGCAACTTATTTGGAAAAATTTCCGTTTTTTTATAGCTTCTTTAACTTTTTTATTCCAGGCACAAAAATCACACTTCACTTCGATAATTGAATCATGAATAATTATGTACTCCATCTGGAGATGTTCCCAACAATTTTTTTCGTTATCTATAAATAAGCCGCATGGTAACTACGGTCACCTTACTTTTTTTCAAGTTTTAAATCGATCTAATCCCGCAATAGTGGCCAACCCTATCGTAAATCATACACTTTCTTGACTCGTTCTGGACGAAAGAAGATGTTTGGTTGTCTACATTTACAGAAAATGCCCTTTTTAGGTCTTGCTTTATCAACAATTACTAAAAAATGGATAGTTTAACAAAAAAATAATTTCAACTCCCAGATGAGCAATAATATTATCTACACTGTCAGATTTTTTAAGCCAAAATATTTTATAGCTTTGGCTTAAAGAGAAAAATAAGTTTTTCTGTTTTTATTGTGTATTAAAAAAACGAAAGCCCCTAATGCAATATCAAGAGTATTTTCATGAAGATTTTCGTATTACGAACAAGTAGATATGTCGCTCAAGTCTTCAAGTGCTATCGTAAGGATGATATTGGAACTGGCGTTTTGCCGTATTTCGGCAGATTTTAATGACCGTAAGGAGGAGCCTTAATTTGCTGTTGTAGAAAGTAAAATCTAATGCACTAATTAATTATAATTTAATTTAAAATACGTATGACCCGTTTTCTTCGTTGAAACACTTTCATGCGTTCGTACATACATCAGACTGCCCTGATGGAAATAAAACAAAACACTGTTTTTTCGAAGTTTAGGAAAATCTCAAAAAAAAGTTTCAAATTCAAGTGCAGTACTAAATCTCCTCAATTTTTGACAGGGATAAACTTTAATTTTCACATAGAATATATATATAACTAATCATAACGTTAACGTTATGTTCAAATTGTTACAGGAAATTAACTGTAAACCAGCAAACGCAGTCATTTTTTTTTTTTTTTTTAGATATTCTGTATTCACCACGATAAAAAACAAGCACCTTCCTGTATATAAGCAGTATTCTATTTTATACCTTATTTCACCTTATCTTTTTAATAAACATTTATTCCACGGTCTTGGGGTTAAACTTTCTGGAATAATCACTCGTAACCATTAATTTAATTAAATTCCATTATATAGTTTCTTGGACAAATTTTTACCAACTTCCGAATAATTTTAAGGGCCATCCAAAGTTTCAGCAGTATTTCCCCACATTATTTGTTTAAAAAAATCACCAATACACAACGGGGGACCAACATTTTGTATTTCTTGAGCTATGAAACGTAAAAAAGTCTGAAGTTATACATTCCTTAAAGTGAGACACTGTTGTTTTCACTGGTTTGACACAGTGAAGTTTTTTGTTTTATTTTTACATACATGTACTGGTTTGTATTTTCATTTGCAATATTTTTTTTAATAATAATAATAATCTTTATTTGACCAAGCATACTAAAAATATATAGGTACGAAAAGCTTAAAAATGTTTTAAATACAGTAATTAAAAATCTAAATATCTAAAATATTTCGAGTTTATTGTGATGTGTCACAAATGAATCGATTTTAATGTATTGTCCAAAATAATATTAATCAAAATTATAAATGTCCACCATAGCAAAATATTAAAGTATACAGTGTGTAAATCCGAAATTACTGGAATTTAACGTAAGTGAAGCATTTTAAGCTGAGTAATCGCGAGATATCAATAATTTTGCGACTTAAACTTATCAATTTTTGTTCCATTTATTGCTGATAAAATACTCGTGACGATTTCATAGAAAGGCAAATTAAAATATTAAAACCAAATTAAAACATTAAAGCCACATTAAAACATTTAATAGCGCTTAAATTTTTTTCTGAAAATTTGCTGAATTGGGTAATTTGTTGTTATTAAATTATGTACTACTTTTTGATATCAAGGATTTTAGATCGGAATATCGTGAAGAAATCTGTTTTGAATTAGTATTTTTCGCAACGTATTCTGTTTGGGTTGTGGGATTTAGGATCAAAATGGGGACATCCAATATGATTAGGTTTCAATACACACAGGTTTTAGGTTAAATTAATTGTTCCATAGATCAGAGTAATTTGCAGCTCTTTCAACTGCCAGTACGGATAATAAACAGTCAGGTAGCGAGCGCCATTAGTTACATAAGTGTCAAATAGTAGTTAAAGGAATTTTTATAAAAACAGTATTTGCAGATTACTCAGAACAGTGAAACAATAAAATATAGTAAAATATATAATCATAGCTTATTCCACACCAGGTTGATCAGCAGAAATCGCAAACCAAATTGTCAGTAGTACTTACTTCAAATAACAAAGTTATTTTAATCGCAGCGTAGGTCAAATTACACACAAAAAAATAAATTTAGTAGTCTTATGCTAGGTTGGAAAAGAATGTGATTTTTTTGTAGTCAATTTTCTGCTTTTAATATTTCAAAATTACTTTTTGGTGAAACGTTGGAATTTTATTTAAGTTTCGATGAACCCACTGTTTTAAATACTAACCATGACCAGTCAGCCTACAACTCCATTGTAACAATAAAAATGGTTTGGACTACGAACAAGTAATGATATACATTCTTATTAAGCATTTCTTATCTCGGTCTTATCTCAAACAATGCATTGTGCTTGTTACGAAACGACGTGAATACATAATGATTGTGACTTTTTTTGCCATCCACATCGTTCTTTCCCGTTTGATCCAAAAGTTTAAAAACCAACAACCACAGAAGGATGAAGTGGTACAGTCTTAACTTATTGTATCTAATTTTATATCTTTAATGCGTTGGTTTGTTTCTATATAGTAACAGAAGTTTTTTCATAAACACCTACTCTTTATTTCAGGATTGGTGGAAAGTAGAAATTCACGATCGTCAAGGTTTTGTTCCCGCCGCATACGTCAAAAAAGTCGACGCAGGACTCACAGCTTCCCAACAAAATCTCGTCGACAATAATTCCATCTCAGCCAGACAAAATCAAATTAACACTCAATATGATCGCTTACTCGCCCTGGCCAGAGAACGCCAAAACAAACTTAACGAAACCGTCAAAGCATACGTTTTGGTTAGAGAAGCCGCCGAACTCGCTTCTTGGATTAAAGATAAAGAAATGCACGCCCAAGTCCAAGACGTCGGTGAAGACCTGGAACAGGTGGAAGTGATGCAAAAGAAATTCGATGATTTCCAGACAGATCTGAAAGCTAACGAGGTGCGTCTGGCGGAGATGAACGAAATCGCTATGCAGTTGGTGTCGTTGGGACAAACTGAAGCTGCTCTCAAGATTCAAACTCAAATGGAAGACTTGAACACGAAATGGACGTCATTGCAACAGTTGACGGCCGAAAGGGCTAATCAGTTGGGATCAGCCCATGAAGTGCAGAGATTCCACAGAGATGTAGACGAAACTAAAGACTGGATTCAGGAGAAAGATGAAGCACTTAATAATGACGATCTAGGAAAAGATTTGAGAAGCGTACAAGCGTTGCAGAGAAAGCATGAAGGACTCGAAAGGGATCTAGCTGCTCTAGGCGACAAGGTGGGTGTTGTATGCAGGGTGTCATTCTTCGAAATTATCAGGGAAATATTTAGTATTTCATTTAAATATTTAACATTCATCATCACTTCACTTCGTTCGTTCCCCATACTTCCACACGTACAAAATAAAATCTCACTTTTAACACATCTCATAAAAAACTATTTGTACGTTTAGATTAAACAACTGGACGAAATAGCTTTACGCTTGGTACAAACTCATCCCGAGAGTGCTGAACAGACTCGAGCTAAACAAGAGGAAATCAACGAACTGTGGACACAATTGACCGCAAAAGCTAACAATCGTAAAGAAAAATTGCTTGATTCGTATGATTTGCAACGTTTTCTCAACGATCACCGTGACCTTATGGCTTGGATGAATTCAATGCTTGGTTTAGTGACTTCAACTGAACTCGCTAATGACGTCACTGGTTCAGAAGCACTTATTGAACGCCATCAAGTAAGTTTTTTGCATCATTTCATATCGTAGTGCATTTAATAAATCAGTTATAAATAAACTTACTGACTTGAGTTTTTTATCTCGTGATGTTTCAATTTCCATTTTGTTGTAATAAATGATGTTTAGATTGTTGGTCGTCCCATTACCACATTTATTCGTATCCGCGACTTGTAGACTGATTTTTGTGTTTACATTTATTTTTAGAGCTACAGGGCTGAAATAGATGCACGTTGTGGATTACCTCAGGTACACTATAAGCCAGAGTGTCTATATTGTTCTATAATTTATGGTACTAACACTTATTACGGGCGTGTTGGAATATCAAAATGCAATTAATTCTTCAAGAACGCTTCTGCCCTTTCTACTTTTTATTGTAAAATTGTTATTATTAATAATTAGCAATTATCAACAATCTTAAGCTCTTCTAACGTCTTTCGCTCATCTGTCTTATCATTCCATTTTTTTAATTCGTCGTTGTCGTTAGGAACACCGTACCGAAATTGATGCACGTGCAGGAACTTTCAATGCTCTTAAACAATTCGGCGAGCAACTCCTCAATTCCCAACACTACGCCAGTCCAGAAATTCAAGAGAAATTGGAACAGTTGAATGACTTCCGCAAAGAACTTGAGAGACACTGGATCGAAAGACGAGTCCAACTAGACCAAAATCTCGATCTTAATCTGTTCTACAGAGACTGTGAACAAGCTGAGAACTGGATGTCAGACCGTGAGGCTTTCCTTGCATCAGACGAAGTTGATTCCAACGGTGACAACGTCGAAGCCCTTATTAAGAAACACGAAGATTTCGATAAAGCCATCAATGCTCACGTATGTAACATTAATTTCAGTTTGAAATTATCCCTTATTTTATTTGTTTTTTATTAGGAAGAGAAAATCGCCGCTTTGGAAAGCTTAGCCAATCAGTTGATCGAAAACGAACACTATGCCTCCCAAGACATCGACAACAAACGAAAACAAGTACTAGACAGGTGGCGCCACTTGAAAGAAGCTCTTATCGAAAAACGCTCAAAACTCGGCGAGAGCCAAACCTTGCAACAATTTTCACGAGATGCTGACGAAATCGAAAACTGGATTGCCGAAAAATTGCAACTGGCTACGGAAGAAAGCTACAAGGATCCGGCAAATATACAATCAAAACACCAGAAACATCAAGCCTTCGAAGCGGAGCTGGCAGCGAATGCGGATAGAATCCAGTCCGTCTTGGCAAACGGAGCGAATTTAATCGAAAAAAGACAATGCGCTGGTTCAGAAGAAGCCGTTCAGAAGCGCTTGGAATCTATCGCCGATCAATGGGAGTTCCTTACGCAAAAGACCACTGAAAAGTCGATGAAACTCAAGGAAGCTAACAAGCAGAGGACTTACATTGCTGCGGTTAAAGATTTGGACTTCTGGTTAGGAGAAGTAGAGAGTTTGCTTACGAGTGAGGATGCTGGCAAAGATTTAGCATCAGTGCAGAATTTGATGAAGAAGCATCAGTTGGTTGAGGCTGATATTCAGGCGCATGAGGACAGAATTAAAGGTGGGTGGTATGCTAGTATATTGGTATTCGCACACGTTCTAACAGAAATTGAATATTATATGTAAGAGTGTTCAGGACATCTTTACACAATGTTATGTGTATTCTTCATTGTGTAGGCCCCTGAAACAAATGGCAATAATAACTAACATTAGAATTAAAAAAGAAAAAAAAATTGTTTTCGTTTTATACCGGTACTTTAATACTGAATTTGTTTACAGATATGAATGATCAAGCAGATTCTCTTATCGAAAGTGGCCAGTTTGACACGGCTTCTATTCAAGAGAAACGTCAATCCATTAACGAACGATATGAACGAATCAAGAACCTTGCAGCCCATCGCCAGGCTCGCCTCAATGAAGCCAACACTTTGCACCAATTCTTTAGAGACATTGCTGATGAAGAGTCATGGATCAAGTAAGATCTTCAACCCTTTTATTTTATTTCATTTATAATAATAATAACAATTTGCGTAGGGAGAAAAAGCTATTGGTGGGATCCGACGATTATGGTCGCGACCTAACTGGTGTGCAAAATCTCAAGAAAAAACACAAGCGTCTTGAAGCCGAACTGGGCTCTCATGAACCCGCAATTCAAGCTGTACAAGAAGCTGGCGAGAAACTAATGGACGTCTCTAACCTTGGAGTTCCCGAAATTGAACAGCGCCTCAAAGCGCTCAATCAAGCTTGGGCCGAATTGAAGCAACTAGCGGCCACTCGCGGTCAAAAACTAGACGAATCGCTTACTTACCAACAATTCCTCGCCAAAGTTGAAGAAGAAGAAGCTTGGATTAGCGAAAAGCAGCAGTTGTTGAGTGTTGAAGATTATGGTGATACAATGGCAGCTGTTCAAGGTTTATTGAAAAAACACGATGCTTTCGAAACCGACTTCCAAGCTCACAGGGAGAGATGCAAAGATATTAATGATGCTGGAAAGAAACTGGTGGCAGATGGCAACCATAATGCAGACAGTATTAACCAACGTTGTCAACAGTTGCAAACTAAACTTGATCACTTAGCTGCTTTGGCTGGTAGACGTAAAGCCAAGTTGATCGACAATTCGGCGTATCTGCAGTTCATGTGGAAAGCAGATGTCGTTGAAAGTTGGATTGCTGATAAGGAGACGCATGTTAAGAGCGAAGAGTACGGAAGAGATTTGTCGTCGGTGCAGACGCTGCTCACCAAACAAGAGACATTTGATGCAGGTATGAAATTCCAGAGATTTTCGTTATTTGTAAAAACTATAACATAGTTTCTATTAAATTAGTGCCCAAATAGTCGTTAGAGCAGCTCAACTATGATCTGAATTTGCAATATATTACATTTCCACGTGTTATTAAAAATTATCCAATCAATGAATAATAAATTTCAGTTGTCACATCAAAATTCGACAGTAGGTTTTTCGTACTAGATAAAGATAATAATTTTCTTCTGTTTGAGCTCACGTTATACTTAAGTCACGTAATCTCGGTTCACATAATGTTCTGTTTTCCTAGGTCTCACTGCTTTTGAACATGAGGGTATTCAGAACATCACAGCCCTTAAGGATCAATTGATCGCTTCCAATCATGATCAAAGCCCAGCTATTCTGCAGCGTCACGCCGACGTCATTGCTAGATGGCAAAAGTTGCTGGCTGACTCCGACGCTCGTAAACAACGCCTTCTTCATATGCAAGAGCAATTCAGGCAAATCGAAGATCTTTTCCTCACTTTTGCCAAGAGAGCTTCTGCTTTCAATTCTTGGTTTGAAAATGCTGAGGAAGATTTAACTGATCCAGTCCGTTGCAATTCAATCGAAGAAATCCGAGCTTTGCGTGAAGCTCATGCTCAATTCCAAGTAAAGACTTAACAGGAAGAGTGGCGTTTATGTATTCTAACTTACAACATTTCTAGGCATCTTTGTCTAGTGCGCAGGCCGATTTCGAAGCTCTGGCAGCTTTAGATCAGCAAATTAAGAGCTTCAATGTTGGACCGAATCCCTACACCTGGTTCAACATGGAAGCTTTGGAAGAAACTTGGCGTAATTTGCAGAAGATTATTGCTGAGAGAGACGTTGAATTGAATAAGGAGGCTCAAAGACAAGAAGAAAACGATAAATTGAGAAAAGAATTTGCTAAACATGCTAACGCGTTCCATCTCTGGCTGACGGAAACTCGGTAAGCAAAAAATGTATTGTCTGAAGCTGAATGAAGTTAGAGTCGGTTTTTGACGTACTTTTTATGGAGTATTTACTTTCAGTTATCGAATTCTGGGCTGGGATGGGTAAATAATTGTGTTGATTGATACTAACGTTTGTTGATTTTTGGTTTGCTGTAATAATTTGTGTTGATACATTTGTCATTAAATTTTTTGTTTGTACAGCAGGTAAAATTTATGAAATGGAGATCGAAAAGAATAAAAATATTACCGTTTTGTTGGTTTCGGTGGTATGCATATGTGTATTAGAAAAAGTCTACAAAAAGTGTTAATAAGACCGGCTACGAACCCAATCTATTGAACAGGTTTTTCACTTGTTGTAAATGGTACCATAAAGCAGTGATAGTGAAATTTTGATGGCTTTTGTTAATTTATCTGCTGTACAAAGTCGACGTAATCTTTCATAATTAATCGCATTGAAAAATTCAATTCCATAAACTAATTCTATACAAGTTGTATAAATTTCTGTAATTACTCGTTTATGGATCTTTCAAAATTCATATTAAATTCATTTAAAATCAGTTACATCGTCCAGATAAATAAATAACAATCCATCACATCCTCTACGAATTTAAGTGAGAACAGGCTAAGGTGAATGTTATATATCTATATTTCAAAACTCAAAAAAACTGAATGTGGAAGAGTGTAAAAATTGAGTTGTTAGTTATCCAAATTTCAGTAACGGTGTTTAATCAGATGTTTTATAATGTTCCAGAATTGTTTTGCTCCTCACCAGAGGTTGTTTAATTAATATTTATTTTATTCGCCTCTCGAGAATTACTAGAAAATACGAAGTATGCTATATTTTCAGTTACATTTGTTAGAGGATTTATCGAAATAATATATATTTTTTATTTTTCTCTTGACGTACTGAATTCATGATTTCATACAAATCATTTATCGTGCTTTCTAATGGCATGCAGTCGTAATTCATTTTTAAAATTTCATACTTGACAAAGTTTTTGTGATTTTGAAGTAAATATGTGTGCGCATTTTTTTTAAAGAGTTGTTATCATAACACCACTAAAAACTGACGTAATGGCAACAATTTTTGAAAAAAAAAAAATTGACTTATGCGACCTAAGTAATAGATTTCCGAAAATTTTGTTAATACGTTGGTGCCTTACTGCAAAATATTAATATACATGTGTTGTAGAATATCGTTTTAAATAAAATTTACTTGACAGTACTTCGATGATGGAAGGTTCAGGTTCCCTCGAACAACAACTAGAAGCTACAAAACGTAAAGCAGCGGAGGTTCGTGCACGTCGTTCTGATCTGAAGAAAATCGAAGATTTGGGCGCCATTTTAGAAGAGCATTTAATTTTGGATAATCGTTACACTGAGCATTCAACGGTAGGCTTGGCACAACAATGGGACCAGTTGGATCAGTTGGGCATGAGAATGCAACACAATCTTGAACAGCAGATCCAAGCTCGTAACCAATCAGGTTTGTAAATATTTAACCGTCATTAACATATCAAACTAAATCAATCTTCTTTCAAGGTGTGAGTGAAGATGCTTTGAAGGAGTTCTCAATGATGTTCAAACATTTCGACAAGGAGAAATCGGGAAAACTGAACCAGCAAGAGTTCAAGAGTTGTTTAAGGGCATTGGGTTATGATCTACCTATGGTGGAAGAAGGACAACCAGACCCAGAATTTGATGCTATTTTAGGTAATTCTCATGCACGTAGTTTTTAACGTGTTTTAATTGCTTGGCGTTTTAGACGTTGTTGATCCAAATCGGGATGGATACGTATCCTTACAGGAATACATGGCATTTATGATAAGTAAAGAGACGGAAAATGTGCAAAGTTCTGAAGAAATTGAAAAAGCGTTTAGAGCTATTACGGCGGGTGATCGTCTATACGTCACACAAGAAGAGCTATATGCGGTAAGTTTCTTTCTTTAAAGCTTTTACTTCAAATATTGCGGATTTAATTTAACTTTTGATGCTCAAATTTATTTATTTGTTGCAGAATTTGACAAAGGAGATGGCCGATTATTGCGTAGCAAGAATGAAACCGTATGTGGAACCTAAAACTGAAAGACCAATAGCGGGAGCCTTGGATTACATAGAATTTACCCGTACTCTATTCCAGAATTAAATGTTTAATGCCCAAAATCCCCTGAATGTACATCATAATAGATAGTAACACTTATACACGCGCTATTTCTTTGTCGAGGGTATTTGGGCATACATATGTTGGTTGCTATGTAATAGTCTTCACGTTATATTATTTATTTTAATTTTTTTATAACTATTGCTTGTATTTGCATGGGAAACTACATATTATATCACGCATTGTTGTTATTCACACAAACATAAAAAAAACAAAAATATTGTATTAATTTTAATAAATGAATGTTTCTGCATTCATTTTAAAAATATATATTGCCTATATAATCATGACTGTTTTCTACTGTGAACCTATGAAATTAATCACGCGTAGTGTAGTTTCCAGAATGTTTGATTCCTTGTCAGCAGGTATCTTTGCAATTAAAAAGCATCAACAACATTGTAAAATTGATTATTTATTAGTTTTTGGGAGTACAATTAATTACGAAGTAATGGCGTATTTAGTAAGCAATTAAAAGCACGATCTATGATAAGAAGTATTCTTTTTGTCATATGACTAGAAGTTGCAGCATCATGAGATACATGGTTGGTACTCATTTGAGGATGAAATTACAAATTACACTATTAATTTGAAGAAACATTTAGAATCACAGCACTTGATTATCAGTATGGAGATGATACTCCAATAAAACAGTTAAAAATCATAGATAGCATTTAAAACTGTCTTATGCTATGTTATTGTACTTTTATTTTGAAGTGGGATTTTTTTCTGTAGAGAAATAATCTGCAGTTTTCTAAACTTTTTAAATCATTTTATAATATCAGCTAAGTAGACCATGATGAAACCTTACCATGATCTTTTAAAATAATTCCAGAATTCTTTAAATTATGTCTAACAGTGTCACACATTTCTAATAGTTGTTGATCTTTCTTTGAAATACCCAACTGTCTTACATTTTGTCTGAAATCATTTAATATGTTCATGATTTCCACAAAGTCACTTCCACTCTCACTATGTTTCTTATAACTTAAATCTAATCCCAACATGTTTAATGTTCTCAAGACTAAATTTAAGATAACCACAACATTAACTGATTTTGAAACACTAGAATGTGTCTTAGATGAATGAAGGGTTATATTCACTGCTGACACTAGTTTATTTAAAGTTTTCACAACTAATGGAGTGTTGAAATCATCTGTCAGTGCACCATATATTATTTCTGCCGAATCTTGTACCAGCTGCTCCATTGCATTGTTGTCCACATCTACTGTAATTAATCCATTTAAGTAATTTTTGCAAGTATCAATAAAGTTGATGTAATTTTGTAAATTCGTACTGGCTGTTGCCATAAATTCAGGACTAAACTCCATATGTTTTCTGTAATGAGACATTAAACATGCCATTCGAAAGGTTTGTGGTGTTGTATTTGCCAAAAGTGAGGAGACTGACATTGTATTCTTTAATGATTTAGACATTTTTTCGCTATCTTTTAAATGCAAATGACCAGTATGGATCCAGTAATTAACCCATTGAGTTTTACAATGCAAGGCACAAGACTGAGCTTCCTCATTCTCATGATGCGGAAAACGCAAGTCGATTCCTCCAGCATGAATATCTATCTCTGGCCCTAAAAATAACATAAAAATGAGCCTTTCAATACTATCAAAACAATAAATATTGTACCAAAGATATGGCTTGCTAAAGCTGAACATTCGATGTGCCACCCTGGCCTTCCATTGCCCCATGGACTCTCCCAATATACTTCACCAGATTTTGCAGATTTCCACAATGCAAAATCCATGCTAGACTTTTTGTATTCATGTTCATGTTCTGGATTTTCACTGCTAATGTTTTGAAGTTTTCCATAGTTACTATACGCTCCCACATCAAAATAAATTGTTCCATTTTCTGCCTGATAAGCTTTCTTACATTTCATCAATTTTTCTATACAATTTTTGATAATTTCAATGTTTTCAGTAACTCGTAATATAACGTCGGGTTTACTTATATCTAATTCTTCTATGTCTTTCCAGAATTCTTTTTCATATCTCTGTGTTAATTCTTGTACAGGCACTTTTGATGCATTGCTTCTATTTATTATTTTATCATCTACATCTGTTATATTCATCACAGTTACTAGATTTAAGTTGAAATACTGTTTTAATATCCTCTGTATTATGTCCAGTTTCATAAAACAACTGGCATGACCTATGTGTGATGAATCGTACACTGTAGGGCCACACGTATACCATGTTACAAAATTTTTGTTTTTCACGATTAAAGGTTCTTTGTTTTTAGTTATACAATTAAATACTTTAATCCCAGTGTCGTGTCCTTCCGGTCTGATCCATTTATGGTGTTTTACGAGCGATACACAATTTTTGGACATCAACATTTTTAAGGTTATACACCGGTAGCTGCAATTGTCAACGTTATATTTATGTCAATCCACTGTCAATCTAATGTCAACGTGCACAAAGGAACCTAATCATTGGCGATTGATTGGCGCTAGCTAGAACGTCTTTGCTAGAACGTGTTTCATTGGTTAAAGTAAAATGTACGGCTGCGTTCTGCGTTCTACGTTCTACGTCCCGTTGTGCGTTATTCATATAATAAATAATGACATTTCGATCTAGGTTAAAAGTGGGATTCCCAACTTTTGTGACGTCTGTGTAAATAATTTGTTTTAAATTTTTTGCAATATTTGAAGACTTACACGAACTGTAATATAAATCGTCTTTAACCAGTTGAAATAGTGAAATATTTTCATGTTCATCATTTGTTGACCGTTTCTTTGTTGCTGACCTACTGACAAAACTTTTTTTTAATTTTAAATAGGTACAAATTAATTTAATGTGTCTGTATCTTTCCGTAATATATCCTGAATTAAATTTAATCGAAAGCAATAATTCTTTGTGTTCAAAACAGGTTCTGAAGTTTCAATTCATTCAAATTTCAAATGAAGATAGAAATGTCAAAATTTAATAAAAGTCAGTTTATTATATTTTATATTTACAAATCAGTGTACTAAAATTAACTTAATTTTAATTGTACTTATATTTAAAGGCTGTGGTTAGCTGGTTTTCTTGCAGCTTTTGCTTTTTCGGTGCTGTTCCAACTTATCCTTCCTACTAAAGTTTTTTTGGCAGGTTTCACAGGTAAATGGTCTGTCGCCACTATGAAGTCGCATATGCCTAGCTAAATTAGATGTGTGTGCAAATTTCCTATCACAGATAGAACAGGTGAAGGGTTGCTCTCCAGTGTGTTTCCGAAGATGCTTGTTATAGTCTCCCTTATGAGTAAACATTTTATCGCAGTGTGTGCATTTCATGAGTTTTCGGCTGCTTTTAGGTGACATTTCCCGACTGGTTGATGGCACCGGTTCATTCACGTTTCTTTCAGTCTTATCTTCATTTTGTTCGATCACTTCGACTAGGAGTGGCAAGCTTCCAAATTTTTTTTGGCAATTTACGCACTTGCAGTTGTATTTATCGGTGTGTGGTTCCTCTTGATCCTTCTCCGGACTTCGGTTTGGATCTTCCTCCATTTTTCTCGCATGAGTTCGTCGAAGTTTGGCTTGGCTGAGGATGATTTCTCTTAGAAAATTTTTGAAATTGTATAGTTTGTGCAGGCAGTGGTCGCAAGTAGCCGTTGACTTGGGATGGAGCGAGATCTAAAATTTGAGTTTTTTAGTATTTCGCAGTCTTTTTCACCGGAGAAAACTTACACATCTGAACAATTTTCCAACCAAGACTTGCTCTTGCGGCTTTAGATTTACCAGTTTGTCGTTGTAATTTCCACATATGCCACATGCAGTAGATTCACTTTCATATTCCATGATCCACAAAGATTTAGAGTAATTGGGAAAATGATTGAACGTTGAATGAGTAACAACTTTCCAGATTATTTTGCCGGGTTTTTTGACTGAATTAACACATGCGCTTGAGATATTGACGTCACACGAGGGGAATTCCTACGGTGTAAGTTTGTTGACGTCTAGGCGAGGAATTCACCGGGAGTCCCCAGTACCCCACTCAAAAAACGTGAAATGTTTCCGTCAACACACTTTATTCACTTCTGGTTTGCGAATTTCCGATGTCTGCGAGTGCTCTTATTCATGGTTTAAGAATAGAACAAAGGTGATATCTGAGCATTTCCAGCAACTCTTATTACAAAAATTACGAAAGAATGAGAGACGGACATCATTAAGCTTGTACATAGAAACTGCCTTTTGCCATTATAAGGGCATTAGTAATTAAGATGTACTTAAAATTGTCTCAAGTTCATTCGACGACCTTCATAAATGTTACAGGGAAACATTAACATAAGTTTGTGATGTATTTACAAATCAGACACAGTGTATTTTTTTACTAGGACAGCATGAAATGAAAAATTATAATTTAAACAATTACTGTAAGAATTGAAAATTCAGTATCCGATAATAAGGTGCGACTTATGGTCTCGTATCTTGTGTTGTTATCTATTATGTTTAAAATTATGATTCACGACTGTGTGTTTTAAAATCCAGCTAAATCGCAAAGTTTTCTCAGTAATGTTAAAAAACCAGAATTAAGAGAGTGTGAATTGTGGTTTTTACGCGTCTTTGACTAGAGAGGTCTTTATACTTTTGTCTGTTCTGTTGCAAAGGTGCCCACTTATCGCCCTATACGTATCTGTTAATGTGTCAACACGTGCTGTTTGTGCATTTAATTAATCAGTTGCTGTCAAGAACAAAATCAGTTTCGGTTTAATAAAAGTGATGTGATAAAACATTAATGGGAGACTTATAAATATTTGAGTTTTTCTTTTTATATTTCCATTGTAAAATATAGATATTCTTTCGAGAACGCATAAATTTGGTTGAAACACCCACAGCTTGATGTGGAAGTAGCTTTTTTTGTTTTTATGTGGCGACATAGGTGTGTCTCTTACATAATTCAAGAAAATTCCATACGTTTAATAAATTCCACTCAGATCCAGATACTTCACCGGTTTGACTTGATACAATAAAAATTAATTTAGAGGATTTCATGGTTTTGTTTAAAATATACATATCCGTGTTGTCTGTTGTTGATTAATTATTATTTTGTATTTCGTGTATCATTGTTATAGTAGTGGTTACTGTTGATATTATAGAAAACTACCCTTTTGCTAACTGTATTACCGACATAAGCTTGCGCATGTGCGCACTTGACACTGTAAGTTCAGTTGATGTACCACCAAGTTGCAATACACATTTCAATCGTTTCGTTCAGTTTTATTCACCTATAATTTCCAAACAATCAATTCCACTGGATAAAGCAAAACCTTGCTACAGGTTATGGGCCCAGGGTACTGCTGATTGTTTGGCCGCGTGTAAAAATAAGGTGAATCCGATATATCTTAGTGATAAAAACTTTTGTGTTCCGGCAACAAAATGGCAGCGTCCACGCTACCACCGATCGAAAAACTACTAGGGCGCGAAAACTTCAACTCATGGAAATTCGCAATGCAAACATATTTGGAGCATGAAGAGTTGTGGGAATGTGTTGAGGGTACGAACACTACGGCAAAACAAGTTGCAAAGGCTAAGGCCAAAATAATCCTGTCGATACACCCCATAAACTATGTCCACGTGCAAAATGCGAAGACAGCGAAAGAGGCATGGGAAAATTTAATCAAGGCCTTCGACGATAAAGGACTTACGCGAAGAGTTGGCCTGTTACGTACCTTAATCACAACTCAGTTGGAAAATTGTGATTCCGTAGAAGAATACGTTAACAAGATTATTTCAACAGGACATAAATTGACGAATATTGGTTTTGTTGTAAATGATGAATGGCTCGGGACGTTATTACTTGCTGGATTGCCAGACCATTATCGCCCGATGATAATGGGACTAGAAAGCTCCGGTATCGCCATTACCAGTGACTCCATCAAGGTGAAACTATTACAAGAGGTCAAGGTCGATACAAGCAGTTCAAACAAAAATGGAGTAGCGTTCTTCGGAAACCACGCCGAAAAGAAGAACTATACTAAAAATGGGCCACGGTGTTTTGAATGTAATAAAATTGGTCATCTCGGGAAGAATTGTTTTAAACGAAAGGCTCGCCTGCAGAGAGAAAATGGCAAATCTTCCAACACGAAGGAAGCGAAATCCTTCTTAACAGTCTTGTCAACGGGAAACGATCATGTTGAAAAAAATGAATGGTATATCGACTCCGGCGCATCGGTCCATCTAACTAACGACAAAACATGGCTGACATGTGGCTGACATCCGCAAGCAAACCTCCTTCATCCACGCAGGAAATTATAGTAGCCAATAAAAATCGTCTAAATGTCGATGCAGTGGGGGAGGTAAATTTGGACGTTTGTACAGGTGGTACACCTGACAAAATAAACGTAAAAGAGGTTATGTTTGTGCCAGATTTGACAACAAACTTGCTGTCTGTGAGTAAAATAACCAATAAGGGGCACAAGGTGTACTTTGAGAACAGTAAATGCAGTATATACGACAAAAGCAACGCCCTCATCGCCAGTGCCACACTGAAGAATGGCATGTACAAACTGGATCGACCGAAAAATAAGGTGCACGGTGCTAACTCAGTATCGGTTGCTGACAATATACATCTATGGCATAGCAGACTAGGCCATCCGTCAACGGACAGCATGAACCGAATGAAAAACGGGGTCGTTACGGGAACGAATTTCAAAAATTCGCTGAGTGAACCTTGCGAGGTATGTGTGCAGGGCAAACAACACCGTCTACCATTTAAGCCACATGTCAAGAACTCAAGCCGACCCTTGGAACTAATCCATTCAGACCTATGTGGTCCTATGGAGGAAAATTCATTGGGAGGATCAAAATACTTTCTCACTTTTGTGGACGACTTCACCCACAAAGTATTTGTTTACTTCCTAAGAAACAAATCAGAAGTACACGATGTTTTCCAAGAATTCAAGAATATGGTAGAAAATCAAACGGGAAATAGAATCAAGACTCTGAGGACTGACAATGGAACTGAATATGTCAACAACAGGTTGCTCAAGCTGCTGAAATTGTCTGGTATTTGTCACCAAACAACGATTCCACATACGCCCGAACAAAATGGAGTTGCAGAGCGGATGAACCGCACCATCATAGAAAAAACGCGTTGCTTATTAATTGGTGCCAATTTGAAGAAAAGGTTTTGGGCAGAAGCCGTAAATACAGCTGTCCACTTGATCAACAGAGCACCGACAAGAACATTGAAAGACGTCACACCAAATGAAGCTTACACAGGTAAGAAACCTGATCTATCCTATTTAAAAGTGTTTGGTTGTAGGGCATTTGTTCACGTGCCTAAACAACAACGCAGAAAATTGGACCCGAAGTCAGAAGAATGCATTCATGTGGGCTATGCAAATGGTTCGAAAGGCTACCGGCTCTATCACATAAGAAAACAGAAAATTGTGGAGGCTAGAGATGTTGTATTTTTTGAAAAAGAACTTCCAAAGGCATCGCAATGTGAAAACAATGATTGGTTGTTTTACCCAATCACCGATGAAACGAACCTCCATGATCATACCGAAGAAAGTGAAGAGTGTGAGATCGAAGAAACTCAAGCAGACGAAATTGATGAACAAGAAATTGAAGAAATTCAGGTTGAATGTAATGTCCATGAAATTGAAACCAATGATGATGTTGAGCAAGTCGAAAACACCGAAAGAGAAGAACCCGCTATAAGAAAATCAAGTAGGGAAAGAAAAGCAAAGGAATTTTCTGAATATATTTGCTACCATGTTCAGTCGTTGACGAGGGAGCCCAAAAATGTTGAAGAAGCTGTTTCGAGTCCTGAGTGTACAAGATGGCTTGAAGCAATGCAAGTTGAATACGATGCACTCATTGAAAACAAAACATGGACTCTCACAGATTTGCCAACCAATGCTAAAGTGATTGACAGCAAATGGGTATTTAAAACAAAATTAGATCAAGACGGGAACATAGATCGATTTAAAGCCAGACTTGTAGTGAAAGGCTGTTGTCAACGTAAGGGGATAGATTATCAAGAAACCTATTCACCTGTGGTACGATACAATTCGATTAGATTGATCTTAGGGCTTGCAGTCAAGTATGACCTTGACATTGATCATATGGACGCAGTGACTGCGTTCTTGCAAGGAGATCTTAACGATGACATTTTTATTCAGCAGCCTGAATTATTTGAAGTTAGAGGCCAAGAAAATAAAGTTTGCAAATTAAACAAGGCAATGTATGGTTTGAAGCAAGCTGGAAGACAATGGAATTTGAAGTTACATCAAGCGTTTATAGAAATTGGGCTAAATCAATCAAAACGAGATGAGTGCATATATTATCTTTGCAAGGATAATAAGATTGTCATTGTCGCAGTCTATGTAGATGATTTACTCATTTTGGGCAACGATTCAAAAATGAAAAATGAATTGAAGAAAGAATTGGAAAGCAGATTCAAAATGAAAGATTTGGGAGAATTACAGTATATCCTGGGAATTCGGGTAACAAGAGACAGAAAAGAGGGCAAATTATGGTTGGACCAATCAAAATATTTAGAAGAGGTTTTATCAAAATTCAACATGGCAAACTGCAATCCGACTAAAACTCCGTTAAGTCCATCCGAGAAGCTAACAAAAGAAATGTACCCAAAATCAACGAACGAGGTTCAAAACATGGAGAATGTACCATATCAAGAGGCAGTTGGGTCATTGATGTATGCATGTCAGGGTACGCGTCCGGACCTGGCATATTCTCTAGCGTTATTGAGCCGATTTAACAATAATCCAGGCTCTGCTCACTGGTCAGCTGTGAAACGAGTCCTTCGATACATCCAGGGCACAAAGGACTTCAGACTCTGTTTTACAAGGACAGAGAATGGAAAACTTGCAGGTTTTTGTGACGCAGACTGGGCAGGT